TCACTGGGGATTCTAGGCGGGGCTCCACCCCGACCACGCCCCCAGCCCCTCACTGGGGATTCTAGGCGGGGCTCCACCCTGACCACGCCCCCAGCTTTTAGCTATTTTGGGTTTTTTTTTTTTGTTGGTTTTTGGGTTTTTTTAGGCAGGGTTTCTTTGTGCAGACAAGGTTCCTGGCTGTGATAGGTTCTTTCTGGCTCTGTAGCCCAGGCTATTCTCGAATTTAAATTCATCTGCCTCTGCCTCCCAAGTGCTGGGTTTAAAGACGTAGGCTGTGGCCATCTCTTGTTTTTTGAGACAGGATCTCACAGTGTGGCCCATGATGACCTGGAACTGGTGATCCTCCTGCCTCAGCCTTATGAGCAGGGTGTGTGCCCACCAGCTCTGTGAAAACTTAGTTTGAACAGAGGGTCACTGTCCTTTGGCGCTCCCTCGAGGTGACCGGTCCTCATCAGTCAGTGTCTGCTTGTTACCACACAGACCCGTGACACGCCTGCCCCCCCCCCCCGTGGCTCCAGGACAGGAGGCAGAGGCCACTTCCCCTCTGGTTCAGATGTCCATGGCATTGTGGGAACGGGGTGGGGAGAGCCGGGGTTTGCAGCCAGCCATGGTTTCTGGCAGGGCCGCCTGAGCTGCAGACAGCGCACAGCCGACCTGGAGAAAAGCGACCATCACACCCCAAGGCGGAGGCCACCAGGGGAGGCCCTGGGGAAGCTTCGGGGACCTATGGGGACGTTGAGCCAGTGGGCACGGAGTACGTGGAAGAGGTGAGCGGCGCTGCGGACAGTCTCGGTGGCAGAGATCCCGGGACTGTTGAGCATGCAGAACTCCATGCAGAACTCCATGCAGAACTCCATGCAGAACTCCATGCAGAACCACAGGCCCTGTGCCTTGCCAGGTCACACCAGCCTGTTCTCGGGTCCGCCTTCTCCCCGGGGGTGCTAAGAGGGGCCAGGGGGCGGCAAAGCTTGGCTAGGCGTCAAGACCCGTCCAGCCCCGCTGCCCAGCGAGCCTGAGGGGCCCATTGAGGCCGCGCTGGGGCACCAGAGAGCCAAGCCCTGTCCATCTCAGGCGGCTTCCACACCCTGGCCAGCCTTTCCTGGGAGAATCAGCCAGGTCCCCTCCACCCTGAGGCCCTGGATTCTGAATGCCGGCCCAAGGAGAGTCCCTGCTGGCCAGCACACAGACACCCAGGGTGGAGCGTTACCTCTCACGCTTCTGCCTCATGCAGAGCCTTCTCCATTCAGAGCCGGCTCCATGGTCCCTGCCTGCCCAGACCGCCCTAGCAGCACAGGGTCTCTGCACCCTGCACTTTGTCCACGCAGGGCTCGCCAGCTGGGGGGGCCAGCTGCGGTGGCCGTCACTTGGTCAAGGGCGTTAGACAGAAGCCATGCAGACCAAAGAAAGTGCCCGGCAGCCAGCAAGGCATCATGGGATGTGGGGCTGGGGGCAGGAAGGAACCATGTCAGGGGCAGGACCTGGGCTTCCAGGGCCGCCTGTCCGGGGTGACACCTCCTGCCAGCCCCTCCAGGAGGCCCAGCGTCGTCCAGGGCCTCGGGGCGGGCCAGTGGGAAGCTGGGCTGTGCTCCGTCCCAGGTGTGCAGTGAAGAGGGGAAGGTGATCCGCTTCCGATGCAAGCTCTGCGAGTGCAGCTTCAATGACCGCAACGCCAGGGACATGCACCTGACTGGACGCAGGCACCGGCTGCAGTACAGGGTATGTCCAGCAGGGGCACCAGAGGCCGGCCGGGACCACAAGCGGGGGCTGGGGGCGCGACTGGTGAGGCACCCGGGAGAGAAAGGAACTGGCGGCCATGGAGAGGAACGGGGAGGGGCGCATGGGTAGGTAGGGCTGGGCTTTGTCCCGCACCGCAGGAGCCTTTCTCCCTGGTCCTGCGGGAGTCTGCAGATGCCCGAGGCCGGGCGCACGAGGACCCCGGCCTGTGCTCCCCTTAGCACCTCCTCGCTGGCCGAGGGTCTCTAGTCCCCCAGTGAGCGCAGGGGGCTGGAGACAGAGCGTCCTCCGTGGCGGCTGCCGTGTGGGGCTGCACTCGGCCCGCCGTGGTCACCTAGGAAACGCCCCCGGCTCTCGCAGGACCTCCCCAAGCTCCCATTGGCTGTTGAGATGCGGTTGCGTGCTGTGCCCCTCAGGACCCCGCCTCCATTGCTGCTGTGGTGGGGGCTGCACATCTGCAAGAACAGCTGGGTGCTAGTTGGGGATCTGTCTGTCCGTCCCCTCCGGCGTCACCGTCTGTCTGGCTTTGCTTTTGCAGAAGAAAGTGGACCCTACACTTCCGGTGGCCGCCCGGCCCAGCGGCCCCATGCAGAGGGTGCTGGTCAAGCGGCTGCAGAGGCAGCGGCAGCTGGCGCAGGAGAGACTGGAGGACGCCCGGCGCTGGACCTCCGAGCTAAGGTGGCCGTGGCGTCCCTCGGCCTCCGGGCAATCTTCAGCCTCCGGCGTGTCCCGACCTCTGATGTCCCCTGACCTCTGATGTCCCCTGACCTCTGATGTCCCCTGACCTCTGATGTCCCCTGACCTTTCATGTCCCCTGACCTCTCATGTCCCCTGACCTCTGATGTCCCCTGACCTCTGATGTCCCCTGACCTCTGATGACCCCTGACCTCTGATGACCCCTGACCTCTCATGTTCTCAGCCTCTTGAGCCTCTGCATCTCCTTTAGACCCTCTCTGTGGTGACCTGGGCCCTGGGGCTGGAGTGCATCTCAGGGTTCTCTGGTAACCGCAGCCGTGTGTCCCCATCTGGCCACCGCAGACAGCAGGAAGAACAGAGCAGGCAGCCTGAGGAGCCGTCACAGCCCCAGGAGGAGGAGCAGCCACCCATGTTCCCTGCCTGGGCCCTGCCAGCTCCCATTGCCAAGCCAGGGATGGCCACCGCCCGGCGCCAGGTGGGTGCTGGGCACCAATGTGCCACGTAGGATCCGTCTCAGTCCCCACAGGACTTAGGAGCCCCTCAGAGAGCACAGCACCCTGAAGGCTCCCCAGTGTGCGGGTCCAGCGTGGCATGCCAAGGCTCCCTGCAGCCTGCCCGGCCTTCCACGCTCTCCACAGTCCTGCCAGGGCTGGCTGTCTTGTCCCCAGCCCACCCTGATGAGGGTCGCTGTCCCCACAGTCGGGGCGCCGGCCAGAGAGCAGTGACGACCGGCATGTCATGTGCAAGCACGCCTCCATCTACCCCACCGAGGAGGAGCTGCAGGCCATCCAGACGGCAGTGTCCCACACAGAGCGTGCCCTCAGACTGGTGTCGGACACGCTGGCCGAGGAGAGCGACCAGCATGGGTTAGTGCCGCCACACGGGCCGCGAGGGCCACAGGGTCAAAGCTCTGTCCACCCCCTTGTCTCAAGTCCCCCAAGACTTCTGATGGAGAAAGGCCCGCCCACCCAACCCGCCCATGTGTAGGGGTTGTGAATCCAGCACTCAGGAAGCTGAAACAGCAAGAGTGCTGTGAGTGTGGGGCTAGCCTGGGCTACACGTGAGCCCTTGTTTCAGATATAGATAGGTCCATAGACAGGTAGACAGATAGATCACAGATACACAGATGACAGATGATGGGTAGATGATAGATCAGATGAATAGATCATACATCATATAAAGATGGTAGATCCACAGATAGATCATAGATGTCGGGCCTCTCCAGTGATGGGGCTGCAGGTGGATACTGGATGTTTCATTTCCCATCAGCCAGTGTCCCTGGGCCCTTCTGACCCTCCCTGCTGACGTGTGCCTGCCGCTCTGTCTCCTCAGCACCCTGGCACCTCCCCAACCACGGATGCTCAAGGGTGTGGTGCGGGTTGGCATCCTGGCCAAGGGCCTGGTCCTGCGTGGGGACCACAGTGTGCAGCTGACCTTGCTGTGCTCCAGGAAGCCCACACACTCCCTGCTGCAGAGGATAAAGCAGGAGCTGCCCCGAGAGCTGTCGGTAAGAGCGAGGCGGGCCTTGGCCTCCCAGCCAGGGCCTGCAGGGCTGCGGAGTGTCTCCATCTGAGTTCAGATCTCTAGAACCTGGTAAAAAGCCAGTCATAGGCCACCAGTGGTGACACACGCCTTTAATTCCAGCATTTGGGAGGCAGATCTCTGAGTTCCAGGTCAGCCAGGGATACACAGAGAAATGGTGTCTCAAAAAACCAAAACAAACCACCGAAAAAACCAAGGCGGAAAAGCAATTGAGAAACAGTCTGACTTCAGTCTCTGGCCTCGACACACACTCTCTCTCACACACACACACTCACACACACACACACTCTCTCTCTCTCTCTTTCTGGACTTTGTACTCACAGGTATCAGTGGCAGCTCCACAGTTTCCTCCTGCCTGACCACAGGGGTGGTTGGCGTGTGAGAAGGCGTTTGTTTTCCTTCCTTTCCTGCTGGTCTTTGGTTCATCACCAGTTGTTTTTCTGTTACATTGCTTGTTTTATTGAGCATCAGGTACTCTTTACATAGGGAGGCTCCTCAGTGTTTCCAAGTGTGTGCTTTCCTGGTGTGTATTAAGTCACGTAGGAATTTCCAAGGCAGGGTCTGGCCTCCTAGGAGCAGGCACACGAAGGTGGACAGATGGGTACGCATGCCATCTGCATTCCCTCTGGTGTGGACTCTGCTCTCGGCTGGAGTCATGTGGCCTCGTGTCATGTTTACACCCAGATAGTGGCAGAAGAAAAGTATGAGGTCTCATCTGACCACGATGCCAACATCGTTATCTCGGCCTGTGTGGAGCCCGGGGTGAAGGTCACCGTGTCTGCCACCTCGCCTCTGATGCGCGAAGACCCCTCTGTAAAACGAGGTACGTCCCCAACTTCCTGTCCTGAGTCTCTAGGGTGCAGCAGATACACCCTGCTCTGGACAGGAGGGCCCCAGTGGCCTCAGTATCTCGGGGTCATGCGGGGTCACGCGGGGTCTCGTAGGGTCGCATCTGGGGCAGTGGAGCTAAGGGCTGATGTTTCGGGGCCTTTGCCCGCACTTTGCACAGGTCTCTCCCACTGCCCCGTGCCCCAGCCGGTGTAGTTTAGGAACCGGGCCTCTCCGTGTGCCCAGGCCCCAGGCCTGAGACCCGCAGGGCCGTCGCCTGCTCTGACGGCAGGTTGTCTAATATTAGACTCAGATTCTGTATGCTGCACGGTGGCGGGAAGCTGAGGGGGGGCTGTGATGAGCAGTGTGGGTGCCGAGGGACAGGCCACCCTGTGAGGCTGCGGCCAGCGGGCAGGGACTCAGTGTCCTGTCCCTGCCGACAGGACTGCAGGACTCTCTGTCCGACCCGGAGGACGTCCTGGATCGGGAGAGGTGCCTCGAGACCCTGGCAGCCCTCCGCCACGCCAAGTGGTTCCAGGTCAGGACGTGGGGTGGCTGGGGTGGGGACAGTCGCCAGCCACGGTCTGCCCACTGACCACTGTGCTTCCTTCCCCAGGCCCGCGCCAGCGGCCTGCAACCGTGTGTGATTGTCATCCGGGTCCTGCGAGAGCTGTGCCGCTGCCTGCCCCCCTGGGGGGCCCTGCCCGCCTGGGTAAGGCCGTGGGGACAGTGGAGAGCCACAGGGGGGCCGGCCAGGTCTCCACTCAGCAGCGGCTGGCCCAGAGTGGGCCGGTGGGCGCTTTAACGAGTGTCACCAGGCCCCCGAAATGAGACGCCCCTCGGGTCACTGCACTGAGGGTGAAGTCCAGACCCTGTGCAGATGCAGGTGTCCCCGGGAAACGCGCCGTCCTCACACAGACCTGGCAGCGTCAGCGTGAGGAGCCAGGACGCCCCTAGAACTCACAGCCCACATCATAGGACCCTGAACCTGGCCCGGCCTGGCCACAGACACATAATCTAGCGTGGCCTTGTTTATCATCCCTGCCCCGCCATCCAAGCAACAGTGTGTCCCATCGTGCCCCCGCGTGTCCCTGTCCTCCTCAGGCCATGGAGCTGCTGGTGGAGAAGGTGCTGAGCAGTGCACCCCGGCCCTTGAGCCCCGGGGACGCTATGCGGAGGGTCCTGGAGTACGTGGCCACAGGCGCGCTCCTGGCAGGTCAGCGTTGGGGACAGGAATGGGGTGCGGGGGGCTGGGCGTGGGCAGCAGAGCCCATGGCCATCCACATACAAGAGGAAAGGGTGGTCCACCCACACACGCTGGGCGCGTGGTTCATAGCCCACAGCACAGGGGCAGGGGTACACCGCCATCCTCTAGGGACACAGCAGGGTCCCCAGGCTAGGGACACAGCAGGGTCCCCAGGCCAGGGCTGCCCCAGCACTCACCCTGTGCCAGTGCCATCCACACACTGGCTGCATCTCCGCTCTGGCTGGTGCCGCTGGTGCCCACGTGCATGGGAACCACGGCTGGCGCTCCAGGGAGGCCACAGGACTCGGCTGCGCCTGTGGCCCCACACGGTGCGGCTGGGCAGTGGCCCTGCACAGCCCTCACCTGGTGACCCGAAGCCCGAGTCCCATCCCCACATCCCCAGCACTGCGCAGTCCAGGCCTGGTGCCACACACCTGTCACCCCAGCGCTCGGGAGCCTGAGGCAGGGGGCAGGAGTTCAAGGGTCAGCTTCATAAGAAGTCTGAGGACCAAGAGTGCCACAGTGCCCCTGAAGGGACGTGGATGGCCCTGGGCGTCCCGGCAGGGTTCCTGGAGACCTGGGTCAAGGGTCAGGCCCGTTGTGCGGGCTGGGGCATGGGCACCCTCACAGGTACAAAGGGGCCACAGGGACCCATGCAGTGTGCCCCAAGGGGGACTGTGTGTTACAAGGCCTCGCCCGATGTGGGCCTCGGTCGCTGCAGACACAGCGCAGACAAAAGTGCAGTCGCCCTGTGTGGCAGGGTGGCTGTTGTGTCCCACTAGCCCCTCTCAAAGGTGTCCACCTTCTCCCTGGCTCAGATGGCCCGGGGCTACAGGACCCCTGTGAGAAAGGCCCACAGGACGCCCTGGAGCCCATGACCCCACAGCAGCGAGAAGACCTGACCGCCAGTGCACAGGTACGTGGGTCCCCAGCCTCCTCCCGCAGAGTCTGGACTCGGGAGTGGCTGGGAGTGACAAGCAGCTCCAGAGCCAGCACTGACTGGCCTGGCCACGGAGTCCACAGTGCTCCCCTGTCACACACAGAGCCTGGCCACGGAGTCCACAGTGCTCCCCGTCATACACAGAGCCTGGCCACAGAGTCCACAGTGCTCCCCGTCATACACAGAGCCTGGCCACAGAGTCCACAGTGCTCCCCGTCATACACAGAGCCTGGCCACGGAGTCCACAGTGCTCCCCGTCACACACAGCGCCTGGCCACGGAGTCCACAGTGCTCCCCCGTCACACACAGAGCCTGGCCACAGAGTCCACAGTCTCCCC